AACACCAACCCGGACTAAAGGTAGACCCTTTAGTCCCGGTTGGTAACACCAACCGGGACTAAAGGTCCCCCGACAGGTTAGTTCAAAAGGGAAGCATCCCATCCATTGTTAGATGTGTTGTGTAGGTGGGGTGGTAAGCTACGCGCGAGGCAATGCATGAGGTCTTGGGTTCGAATCTCACGGGGCGCAGCGGTGAGAGGCATTATTTTTTTTAAAGCTGGGAGGACCTTTAGTCCTGGTTGGTGTTATGCACGACCCGGGACTAAAGGACCCCCCTTTAGTCCCGGATGCTTACTCCCGGGTGGGGAACCGGGACTAGAGGAGGTTCTCCACCGGGAGTAAAGCCCGTCCCTCCACTAGTGTTCCCGGCGTTGGCGGGTGCTCGGCACGTCGGTGGCGGCTCGCTAGAGCTACTGCGGCGGCACCATGCGGCGAAAACGGCCCTAGTGGCCCTAACTTTAGTAACTGGCTACGTGTACGTGTGTGCGGGTGTGAAGTGCATATGCTAGGGGGGTCGTGGAGTCTAGCCGAGCCTTGCCGTCGGTCCGCCGGCGATCAGGCGGCTTGGCGGAGCTCGGTGCTCGGGGATAGCGTGGCACAGAGGGAGAGAGAAGAAAACGAGTGACCGAGGAGGTGGAGGAGGGGCTCTAGGGCTCACCTGCCTCTCCAATCAGCCGGCGATGCAGCGAGGAAGAAGAGAGAAGGCGTCGGCTCCAATGGTGATGGCAGAACCGATTTGGGGGAAATCGCCCTAGCACGCTATTGAGAGAGAGAGAGAGAGAGGAGTGGATGGGGAAATGTTGTGTCCTAGACTACGGTGAAGCTATTGGTGGTGTGACCGGAGCAGCACCGGCTGGGACTATTCATAGGCTGGCACGATGGCGCCAGCGGCGGGAAATATCTCCCGACCGTGGAGATATTTCACCGCTCGTGCACGTGTTGAAACCCTAATGTTGTTCGCCACAACGCAACCTTATCCGTGCTCTTGTCTAGGAGCTCGGAGCTCGGCCATGGCGCAACGGTCGAGCGAGCTGGTGCCACCGCGTGGCCATGGTGGCAGAGAGAGGCAGTGAGGAGAAGAGAGAGAGAGGGAGAGAGAGGGTGGCGGGTCCGAGAAGCTTCCGGGAGCTCGTCGTTCTTATCCGTTGGCGCCGGGGTGGAGCGGGCAGCGGCGCGGTGGAGGCGACCTGCCGTCGACACGGTATTTGCGTCGATGGTGAAGGGTAGATGACGGCGCTGACGGGCGGGGTCCGCGTGCCAGCGAGCGTGAGAGAGGAGAGGGAGCGGGCGCGGTGCGTGGCTAGGCTGCTGCCGGTGCCGGCCCACGCGGGAGAAGAGAGGAGGGAGGCGGGCTGAAGGTGGGAGGAGGGAGAGAATGAGCCCGGGTGCTCTTTTCCTATTTCCATTTTTCTCTTCTATTTTCTAGATTGAGTTTGGAGATGAATTTTGAATCCAAATTTGTTTGAGATGTTTTTAGAAAATCTGTACCACCATATGTTCAAACAATCAATCATATCAAACAATGATCACTCAGGTTGTTTCTATTTGGTTGCTTTATTTATTTATGCTAGGTAATTTCCTAAATGGTTAAGTTAATTCCTATCTAAGTAATTTACTCCCTTTTTGAGTTAGTGTTTATTTGTTTTAGGTAAGGTCTCAAAAAGTTCAAATTTTTAGTGATTTTTATTTTAGGGTCAAAATTCAGGGTATTACAATAGATGCGTCATGGACTTCCTGACAGGATCCACATCCATTCATCTAATGGTTAGATGTGAAAAATACGCAACTATGCATAGGAGAAATAGCTACAAATGAAGGCCATTTCCATTTCATAGAGAATAACATGCCTCTTGCTGCGTTGCTTTCAATTCACATGCAAAATCCAACTGTTCCCTCTTGCTGTGGCATGGCACTAGTGTTTCACCGTTGTCTACACTCACTGGTTCGATAGGGACGTGTAGTGAATGAATCATACTATCCTTTTTGTATCAACTTAAACGAATCTTATATTGATCGAATAATTTAGCCCTGTAAAACGATTGGCCCCGTAAATGTTTCAACAGTTTGAATCCCAAATAAAAAGTATGGTGTGAATATGTGATGGACGAAATATTACATACATCGACAAACAACTGCTTTTCTGCCGATATCGTTAGGAATTGGACACAGCTACGATGGAGGCTCAGATTCTAGCAAGGGTGTATATACCGTACCAATTAATTCTTCCTCGGATTCTCTATTTCTCTCTCTAGGTCACTGAAGAACCGTTGCAACACTTCGATGGCAAGGACAGACAGTCTCATTTCTGAATAGTTCCTAATCTATGTTGAGGCGTACCTTCCATTTTTTTTCTTTTTCCTTTTTTAGGGGCCATCTCTAACCTTTGGCTTTCGAAAATCCTGCAGCATCTAGCTGGCTACTCAAAAGCATCAACATAGTGCCAACGTACCCATATATGCTTGGACACAAAACAAGCGTATGGTGGACAGTTGCTCATTATATTTGTCCAGTGCAAAAGCAGAACATACGAGGCACTTCGCTTCCATCTATACACTAGTCCGATCCATCACCCTCTCTCTATCTCTTTCTCTCCCTCTCTCTCTCTCATCAGTCATTTGGTTCTTCAATCTGCCTGGCTATCTCCTAGTGCCGCCAATTCAACTCAACTAAGGTACGTACATATGCAACATAACTCCTTCCGTCAACTTTTATTCTTTGTATGATGCATCCATTTATTGTGCATGTATGCATGGAATGAACATCCTATTAATTTCTCTTAGCTTCATTCTTGTCTGTTCACCAGGAGAGCTAGCTGAGAGAGACTCAACACACCATGGGTTAGATCCAAAATACAAATTGCAATGATCTGGTGAAACTGGCTATTTCTGCAAGCCATAGTGGCTACACTAAACAGATTCTATCCGTCATGCGTACCGAGGTAAACCACTAACCTCATCTGTTCCTTTGCAGTAGGCATATATATTATATTAATAGATTCCAAATAAGCTTCAGATGCTGACATACACAATCAGTGTGGCATTAACAGATAGTTGAAAGAGAAAATCTATCTATATAACTTTGAAGCACTAAGCATGCATATATATTAACTTATTGTTTGTAAAACTTATGCACTTTGCCTATTAAAGATCATAACATGCTTACTAGAAAGAAATGGAGGGAGTTGCATTCTCAAGCAATCCCTCAGGGTCGTAAGTTGCAAGTCACATGATTTTCGCATGTGTGCGGCTGTGTAGGATCAAACTTACAACCTCAGGCCACACAGATTACGTCTTACCACTCCACCTCAAAATTATTTGTGACTAAGCTGATGATACGATCTTTTTTATTCACTTTGAACGACTATTTGAGACCCTAATCGAATTCAAATGAATAAAGTACGAACTAAAACGTTTTAGTGGTAATGCATTTCAAAAACTAAAAACTTAAAATACAATTTCATGGTATAAAATGATTTCGAATGAAAAAGTCATCAACTATAAAGTTCAAGATCTCTTCGAGTGGTACAACATTGGTTTATGCCGTTACTCCATCCAAGGTCATTTGCAAAATAAAAATAGTTCAAGATCTAAAACATTGCAGATCTATTCGAGTACTACAACTTCGTAGTTGACTACTTATTCATTTTAAATCATTTAGTACGTGGAAATTTTGTTTTTGGTTTAAAGATGGTTATAAATATTTATGTGTTTTCTAAAATAATAAATATGTAAATCGCTAGAATTCATGAATAATTCATTTTCAAACAGAAATTGGACCAGACCATAATAGGTTTATTGCACTTCTGTTTTTGGAGTTCGAGGGCTAAATTTGGACATCAATAATAGTTCGAGGGCTAAAATTTGTGTTTTCCAAATTTAAAAATATTGAACACCTGGAATTATGAAAGTTTTAAACAAATTTCTGGGTTTTAAATATTTTCAAATGAAAAATTGTCAACCATAAAGTTGTGGCTCTCTTCGAGTACTACAACTTTGATCTAATGTTTGTCTTCATCCGGCTTGATTTACATAAGTTAGTAATTTTACTATGCTTCACTTAATTTTAGAGACGGACCAAATTGCCAATTATCTCTAGAATTGGAATTTCTAGCTGCTTCTAAAAATACCTCCATTTCTAGACTCGGCTAGAAAGCCAAGCTACCTATATAAATGACATTTTTAGAGGCGGTTCGGCTTTCCAGTCACCTCTAAAAATCAAGGGTATTTCAAAACAATTTCTAGACGTGGGCTGGCTCATAATTCATTTTTAGAGGTGGTTCTTGATAGAGTTATCTCCGCACTAAATGGGAGACATTTTTAAAAATGGTTTCTACAGTAGTGTGTGTCATGTTCCAAAAAAGGGATTATAATGTTAGACCTTAATTATGTATGCATGCTAGTTACCATATACACCTCTACATGTCATGTAAAAAATCATGTAACAAATAGTCATGTTAGGATATGAAAGTCATATCTAAATCATCTATATATGTTGCATCTCGTCATATGAATCACACACTGAGATGTCATATTCCAGGGAAAATTATTACATTTTAATCACGTAAACACAACACCTGTAAATATGTGACATCATGTCACCTCTACCTGTGCGACAACACTTTCATATGCAACGAGTTAAATTTTAAGATAACACGTTAATTTGCAAGATATTTGGGCTAATTGATCTAATTGCAAGATATTTTTCCTTTTTTCTTTCTTGCACAGTATATAAATAAATATTTCTCATATTATCATCATCCATATGGCGACCCGCTGTAAATTTAACAATGCCCATCATTTCACCATTAACTTATCGTTTGTTCATTTGCGTGTCTCTGTCTGTACTACAACAATACAATATGTATGATAACGATATTAGTAAGTATATGGGGTTCGTAACTCAATGTAATTGTCCAATGTTGACTATACTGCTAAGTAAAAAGTCATAATAATCCTTGTCAAAGTGATGATCATTGCACTGCACACTGAAGAGAGACAGACATGATGTGTCCATGCTTGCAGGTCATCCAGGCAGACACCATTGAAGCAGCTGCAGAACGAATTCTCATTGAGCTCAATGCTGGCGACACTAATACTGAGAGAACCATCAACACCAGAGACAACGTGATCTACTTCGATGGCTGGGACGGGCTGGGTGCATCTGCTGTCCTTAGAGCTGTTTGCCAACGCCTTGCCACAGCTTCAGAAGCCCCAGCAGGCCTGCAGTTTGATCAGGTCATCAACATCGACTGCTCCAAGTGGGTGAACAGGAGAGCTATGCAGAGAGTGATAGCAGAGCAGCTGGAGCTTCCTGCTGAGGTTATCGATATAATAGACAGGCGTGATGAGGAGGACGACTACCGTGGTCAAGACCAGAGCTCCCGTGATGTCATACCACAAGTTGTCAGAGAGATCTACCAAAGGATACAGAACCGTAGGTTCCTGGTGATTTTTTACAATGGAAGCAATAAGGACATTGATCTAGCCAATCTTGGCTTCCCTCTGCAAGACTTGGGCTTCCATCTATACTCAAGCAACAAGGTCCTGTGGACATTTCAAGGAAGTTTCCGGCTAATGCCCATGACAAAAGTCAGCAGGGCAGCGCAGAGCATAGGAACCACAGGTGTTTTCCTATCAGCAGCCTCAAGCCAACAGGATCAAGATCCACATGTGTTCTGGTCTTATCTTGTGCTGCAAGAGGCTGCAGAACTTGTTGCTGGCAAGGATGATAGTTCTGGCATCAACGTTCAGCCAGAACAGGTTGCTGAGTGCTTCTTGTATACATTGAATCTATGTGGCATGGGCCGTCACTTCATGATGGACTATGATCTGGCAACTCATGGCTGCAATTACTGGATATGTGATGGCATCATACGTCCACAACAGAGACAAAGACATGTTGACCACGATGGATTGTGGTCAGCTGCTGAAGCTCTGCAGCGTGAGATGCAAATGGATGTGGACTACTACCACCATGACCACAAAAATTTGCCCACTCACCTTGTTAAGTTTGCTGAGATCATGCCATGCTGGACTTCTCCAACATACCGCGTCGTTCAGATCCTTGATAGGGCCACTCCTATCAGATGCAACTTTGATCATTATGACAAACTTGCTGTCCTCAAACTATCATACTGTACATTCACCTTCTCATTGCCTCCATTCTTGTGCTGCCAAAGCCTTAAATTTCTATGGCTCGACCACTGTCGGGACATGGAGAGCAGCACAGATGGAGACATGGAGAAGGCGGATGACATCCACCAGTGGATCCAAAGATTGTGGGTGCTGGATGTGCGCAACACATGCTGTAATCGCATTTTATCTGCACGGATGCTAGATTTCATGACTCAGCTAAGGGTGTTAAATGTGATTGGAGCCAAGGATTGGGACATGCGCCAGTTGCAGGGGCGGCTGCCTAATATCCGCAATCTTCGAGTAACAAAGTCTACAATTCAATGTGGTACTTATATCTGGGAAGATGACTTGTTCACAGGGATGAAAAAGATGGAGGTTCTTGACCTTTCTGGAAACAAAATAATTAGCGGAAAGAGATGCATATCTGCCACGGAACAGAGCTGCAGCCTGGAGACCATCATAATTGACCAGGGATGTGTTGAATTAGAGCAGATCTCCTTGACTGGGTGTTCTAAGCTAAAGAATGTACTTTTGAGAGGATTATTCGAAGAGCTTGTGAACCTTGATATCTCAGGATCAGGTGTGAAAAGGTTGGATCTCAGTGCAATGATAGCATTGAAACTTGATGAGGTCATTCTACTTGACTGCAACATGCTTTGTGCGATCCTGTGGCCACCAGAAGGAAGAAGGAAAACATATTTTGACACCCTGCGCATTCAAACCAGAAAGGAGAGTAACACACCTAGTGCAACATCAGGATTAAAGTCATCAGCATTGTCAGTGATATCTGGTAGTCGAGCACCCTCTGAATATAAGTGGTATATTTCAGTATATGATGCAAGGCTCCTCTGGTCACTTGTACCTTTGAAAGTGTATTTCGATGAGCACGTTGTACATGTCGAGATTTCCTCTCCTTGTCATCGAACTGTTGAAGTTGCTGGTAGCAGTGATCAAGCGCTCAAGAGCAGCATCGGCCGTGTGGAGCAGGTTCTAATAGATCAGAATCAAGAAGAGAGTCCAGAAGGTAATAATGCATCAATATATGCAGATATCGTCATTGCTGCCAAGAACCACCAGCAACAGGCGAAGGGAGACGGTCGTAGGTCTCTTACATCCATCATGTGGGCATGGCCTTGCCCACATGCTCCTAATCTTGAACCATCAACCTGCTACATGGACATACAAGACTGGCCACTGGGAACCAAGTCACAACTAACTAGTCAACAAACTGCTAAGATTACTATACCAGATGTTATATGCAACAGTACTCGCATCATGTATGTGCATGACAGCTTGTACATCACTCATATGCCTGGCCCAGCACCTTCTCTAGGAGCAGAATGGAAAAATCTTTGGTGGTGCCGAGTGGAGCGTTGCCCTGAGATGGACTGTGTCTTCCCAAGTACAATGATAGGTGGTGAAAACTGGACCACGATATTTTACAGACTGAGGACACTATGGGTGTCCCAACTTCCCAAGGCACAGTTCATATGGAGCTGGAGGAAACACGAGATCTATGGAGTTTCATTTCAGGATCTGGAATTCATGCATGTGGACTTCTGCCCCCGGTTGACACATGTTCTCCCCTTATCTTTGGCATTGATCCAAGGACTTGGCCTAAACTACCTAAGGACCCTAGAGATTGTGTGGTGCGGAGATCTGAGGGCAGTTTTCCCTTTGGACACTGACGCCGAGAGCTACCAAGATCGACGACATCAGGCGATTACTGTGAAATTTCAATACCTTCAGCGTATTCACTTGCACGAGTTGCCTATGCTACATGGCTTCTGCGGACGTGGAAGGATGTACACACCAAACCTTGAGAGCATGGTGATTAGGGGCTGTTGGAACCTCACACGCATACCATCCGTTGGTGGTGGCCACATTACCAAGAAGGTGAAGTGCGACTGTGAAAAGGAATGGTGGGACAGGCTGGAGTGGGATGGGGTGCAGGAAAATCACCATCCATCCCTATATGAACCAAGCCACCCAAGATATTACAAGAACACCTTGCTCAGGGGCTCCGTTCTCATATGAGGTACGTTTGTGGTTACAAGCCCTATGTATATATTCCAACTAGGATATATATGATCTCTGTCATTGTAATTTAGAGAATATTGTTCTGTTCCTTGGATTGCAGCATTACTCAAGTCTCTTGGAGATGAGCCATGACCAGTTTCTACTCTGTCCAGACACTGTCAGGTCCAAAGCTCAGTATCGGTTTTGTGTGTCTCCTTTGATTTCAGCTGCATGCTGTTCTGCTTTTGCTTATTGTTTTTCAAATCCGTGATCATCACTTCTGCACCTGATTGTCCATTGTGTCAACATTACCAGCATCTGCATGGTGGTGCTCCACACTGCCATGAGTGAGCCAAAAGTTATTTGATTAGTTGCAGGTTGACTTTTCCTCCTTCATATGAGTCCTGTGTACTCTCTCTTGTGTTTCTAGTGTGGCGTGTCATTGTCAGCATTGTGTGGACTGAATGATCACTTGATTGTAAGTTAAACATATATAAATGAGGCTGGATTTTTGTCTGTAGTAGCCGAATTCGTACGTGCCGGTACACATCGTACTAATTGTCACATGTATACGATACGAATGAGCCCGTAATTGAAACCTTTCAAAACCTACCGAAGTTTAGAACTTTCAAACCTTTTAAAATTGTGCCGATCATGGAACAACAAAACTAATAAACTAAATCCGTCCTGCACGTATACACAGAGACAGGGTACTTATCAATTGTATAGCGATGCAGACCGTCGGACGAGGAGAAATAGGCTTATCCTCTATGCTTTGAAGACCAATATGGCTAAAAAGAGGATTACAACAGTGACATGGGGGACAAGAGGTGAGACTCATGTGTTTACTGTACATGGGGTTTACACTACTACAGAAGTCTTTTCTAGAGGCTGCCAAAATTGCTCTGTAGAGGCGGCTAGAGGAACCGCCTCTATCCATGTGTCTCTAAAAATCATCAATTTCTAGATACGGATATGCAACCGTCTCTAAAAATCTATTTATAAAGATGAGCTGGACATGGACAGCCTCTACAGATCCTACTCCAGAAGCGGCTGAAGCATCACCTGCCTCTACAAACTGATCAAGAAATAAAAAAAATGAGCCTTACCCCGCCGGCGCGCTGGAGGTCGGATGGGCTGGTTCTTGCCCGTGCGCGGAGGCTGATTGGCCCAGGCATGGCGGCGCCTGCCTATGCCTTCCTTGCTAGGATGCCTCCTGCCGCATCGCTCCCGAGCACAGCGGAGCTAAATCAAAGTTTTTACGCAAGCTTGCCTTACTGATGTAATTAACTGGTCGCACCCTACATACTCTGAAAATCGTCGAACTATAGAATTTTCTTCAAGTCGGAGCTCTCCTCAAGCATGACACCAAAGGTGGAAGAAGACAATTTTCTATAATGACGTATTTTGTATATTCATGAAAGAAATAATGAAATATATAGTTTTCGAACTTGTGCTTTCTGTGCATCTATTATTCTTACTTATGTCTTTGTTCTGTTTTCGTGATAACATCGTCCAATAACACTTTAATTTATCAGAATAAGATTATCACCTTACAAAGTAGCCATTTTGAGAGTCACACGTGCTGAGCGCTCAAATTGACATACATATGACGGTGCATCAGCTTTTTATAGAGCATTGGATACATGTTGTAGCACAGGGTAATTGGCAGAGTTTGAAGCAGAGGATGGTAGGGGTTGGAAGCCTGTATCGTTCAATTACATATAAAACAGAGGAATGTCTTTCAGTCCATGATGAGCACTACAGAATTGGTGAACGCCTCATCATATGCCCACACCAAGTCACACCCCATCATATTACCATCCTTCTCAACTAGTTTTCTCGGATGCCACTCATTCACATCTTTTTGAACACTAATACCTGTACCATTTAATGATGTGACGGATGTATGTATGTATGTATGTATTGGAGGATATATATGTGATGGTACAATAGCAGCTACGCAGTGTTTAAAACTATTATTAGAGAGAAGGGAGAGAAGACTAGTTAGCTCAGAGCTGCATGTGAGGGTATATAATGAGCGGAGAACCTCACTTCTCTTGCAACCTGTGAATGCAACCTGCCTGCGTGCTGTTCCCATGTCCGTAGTGCATGTGTTGAAATGATGCGGGATTGAGCTGGTTTAAGTCCATACATATCATCATTGCGAGGGGTTGGGAGCTTGTTGAAATAATATAAATTAAATTAAGTCAAATTTAGATTTGAATTATAAAACTAAAGTAAAACAAATCATATTTTATTTATAAAATCCAGTTGCATAATTATTATTCAAGTTAGAGTTTAAACCATAAAATTCCAAAGCTAGTGATATGATAAATATTTTTACTAATGCGTAGATTACATCGCCACGAATCCAACACATCTTGAATGGATCGAATCAGAGCTAAAACAAATAAGTTACGATTTAAACAAGATTTCCATTAGTAAAATAATAGATTAAATCTAATCACAAATTTTAAAAGTTGAAAACATACTTAACAGTAGTATGAACATGTAGACAACGTAAATACGAACCTAACGCAATTTGAATCGTTTTTTTTTTTTTTTGAATTTTGTACAAAAGCCACACATCTCAATAAATCAATGCAAAGGCATGTATTCTCAACAATGTTGCTACACCCTATAATAAATTTTAATTTAATGAAAAATTATTTATTTTTCTATATTTCATGAGCACAAAAATAAAAAAATACAGAATTAAATCATTTTAGCTATATTTCAAAAGGAGCAAATTTGAGGGTGTTACGATTACCATTACCATACCTCGCTGAATTTTCATTAATTCGGCTCGAGCTAGAAGTAACATAAGAAGCTGAATTATGAATAGGAGCATTAGCATATGGTGCTAAATTTTGAGAGTAATTGGCTAAATAATTGGCATTGTCATAGCCAATTCTCGTATTCATCGGCACGTCTTGTGTTGAAACCACGTATTGTGAACTTATAACCAATGAATAAGGTATTGATCACAAAATTCTGTATTAGTAGTAACTATTTAATTTTCTTTATACAAGTATGGAATTAGTTATTTTTTCAACTTTACATACATTCTGTTGCAGCTCACTTGTGCTCATGTGCATCCTGACATGCTATAAGTTAATTACTGATATAATTATACACATAACTGTTATATCTGCATAATTGAGGGCAAGCTGTTTTGTTTTTAGTGGTAGATTGTGTGACGATGATTGGTGTATATTGTGTGACGATGTACGGTTGAAACCTTCTTGCATGGAGCTAATGGAGTCCACTTGGCCACTTCTTCCTTAGCGTGCATTTTCTAGGAATGCGAGGGAGCTGGACGATAACTCCGATAATGATGGATCTGGCCACCAGAGCATCCTTGGGCTTGCTCTTGACGAGGAGACATATGGCGAGTCTCTTAATCCACTAGCGCACGTTGCTGGCTATTAGCGACGTGCAAGCGCAGGTTCACATGCCCAGCGTGGTTTTCCTGCCATGTCCCATCGCTGTGGGTTCCATCCCTCTCTCTCTCTCTTGTCATGCCTGATAGTTGTTAATTGACTCTAGTTGAATACACAGATTTCCACACGCCATTCACACTGTTGGCTCATAATAGCACCAATATAAATAAAAGATAAGCCGACAGTAAAGATGTTTTCTGTGCTAGTGCCTGCAGCATTTGAACCTCTTCCTATAGGCTGGTATTGATCACACGATGTTCTTTGTTAGAAGCAACTATTTAATTTTGTCTATACAAGAATGGAATTATTTACTTTTCTAAGCTTTCTTTGCACTTGTGCTGACGTGCATCCCCTTGCTCCGTCCTGCATACCATGTTGTGGCTGGAGCATGGGCCCCGGAAAGCAAGTGTGACACATGGTTAATGGAAAGCAGCTCCAGCTCGGTGTCTCCAGCAGTGCAGAGCGCTATGAGGTTCCAGATCTTGGCAATTGGGCCCTCCCACCTTCTTAGCTCAGCACTGATGAATTCCATCCAAGTCGACACCTTGTCTCCTGTGCCTTGGCCTGAACCTTGGCTACCCAACAAGTCTATGCTCTGATGGGTGACTCAAGTCATCTGAACAATGAATTCTCCAGGATGTTAGTACGTGCAGATACTATGGGTGTCCGTGTAATCTCATCGTCTAGCCGAAGGCCCTTCCTGCAACAGACCGTTGAAACAGGGAAAAAACATCTTTCCTAGCTTCATTTGTCGCCTGTTTCTGTGATGCGTCCCATTTCCATAATGACCAAACTTGTATAGCCGAGCCTACCAGACTTTTATAAATATATAATATTTGTCTTGTCTAGATATCGCCATACTGGATATGTGTTTTTCTATATAGAATGCTAAACAAGGGTGTATGATCGATGCATAGGGCAGGGGATGTGACTCCAATATATGCAAAGGGCCGCGGCCTATATATAGTGAGAAGATAAAGGACTCATACTATCTAAACCAACTACTTACAACACGTGCAGGTGATGCAGATACAGGAAGAAAGCTCCGTTTACAAAAAAAAAAAAAAAAAAACACTTCGTATTTTAGGTCTGCGTATGTCCAATGTATAAATTTTATTTATTGTTGTCTGGCCATCTTCCTCGCCTACTTTATATAGTGAATATGTACGAGGACATGAATACAATCATAACTTATCAGTATAGGAAGCAGAGTCATTTTGTACGTGTGCTAACAACAGAGAATTTAGATTAATTTCCTATTTGCTTAGCTCTTGGCCATATACGAGGACATGAATACAATCATAACTTATCAGTATAGGAAGCAGAGTCATTTTGTACGTGTGTTAACAACAGAGAGTTTAGATTAATTTCCTGTTTGGTTAGCTCTTGGCCCGAGCTGCCGAGTGCAGACAACATCCCTAGGCATCCGGTTTTACACATCTGAAGCTAAGATTTGTTGACACAAGAATTACTTGGCAGGCGCTCAACCAAACACGCTCTCTGTGTACTGGATTTTGATGTTCCTCATCGTAACCATATTGATGGCTTTTGTGTTATTATTCTTATATTTGA